CAGTGAGTCGAGTCCAGTGCTCTTTGAGCTGAGGATCGGAATTAATTAACGGCGAAAACATTTCATCAAATTTGGCGAAATCTGTGTTCAGATTGTGTTCAAAAGAGTTGGGCGTTAAGTCCGGAACATCTGGATCCTCTGTGAGGCCCGAAGACGTCGCGCCGACGACACCACCGCTCGCTATGGCCGACACTTCGCACACATCCGGCGCTTTGCCGCTCGCTTTCGGCTTCACCTGAAACTCGTTGAGAGCGCCTATGGATCAGATGAATGGCACATAAAAGACAAATACATACAAATTATGGCAAAAAACCCAACACTTGATCCCAACGAGACTTACTGTCCAATAATGTGGACAACTCTTCGTCCACCTCCGGATCCGTCACCTCTTCGGCCGTCTTCGGCTTCTCCCCATCGGTTGACATAATGTGATGACAATTACGGGTTGACTGCGGAGGAAGTGTTGATGTCTTGATGTCGTGAACACAAAAGCGATGATTGAGTTATGGTTTGTGTCAACGATTGCATCAAAACAATCGTAACTATTGTTCACTATATCTGTCACACAATTATCTCTTCGTAAACTTTGGGCCCTTTTTGGTCTCTTATCGTTAATTCAACGCATAAACCCCTCCACGCATTCACTCCCCCTTTATTGATGTAACGGTATTTGTGATGATTAGCGCAATTCGCAAATACAATTACGGCAAAAAACCCAAAACAGTGTGAAAGCCATAAATGCTGTCCAAAAATGTGTGAAAAACGTGTCATTAAATGGACGTACAATTGATGGCAAAATGTATGGCAATTGAACACAACGTGTATTTCAACGGCTATTCATTGCACTAAACATTAGAAAATTACAAATTAATAAATAATAACACAAAACAATTTGTATTCAATTTAAATCATTTATTTTATTTTAATTAAATACTTCTTCTCAAAGACTGATTACAAAACACAATACACTGCGAGAGCAGAGATGAGGGAAATATTGGAGACAATTGCAAAACAAACGGCAAAATCGCTTAAGACTTTTCCTTTTTGCCTTTTTTGCCTCCCTTTCCGGCCTCAGCGGCCGCTTCCGCCGCCGCCTCCTCTTCGGCCGCGTCGTCCGCTTTCGTGGTTCGCGTGTATATCGTCTGCGA